CAGACACAGCCCCACTCTCTGTACTTATCAACCTGTTAATGGGTGTAAGAAATTGAAAACACTTTGGCAGAACTTGAACACACAACCCTATAGCAATAAGCATAGAAACTTAACCCCCTGCTCTACAGAGCTGCACAGACACAGTACCAATCTGTTCACTGATCAGCCTCTAACTGTTGGGAAGAATTAAACTGAAAACAGCACAACTGCCTCAGCTAGGATTTGAACCCAGGACTCTCCAGACATAGGAATAGAATCCCAGACCTCTGCTCTATAGACCAAGCCTCCCCAAGTACCAGTATACATGTTTATCAATACGTTAGCTTTGGTAAGAATACCAGTGAAAAGAAACTTCCCGCATTAACTGGGATTTCATCCTCTAACTACAGGGATAGGAGCTCAGAGCCTGAGCCCTCGACTCTATAGAGCCTCTCAGCCACAACGCCAGTACCTTTCCTGGTCAACCTGTTACTGTGGGCAAGAATTAAACTACAAGCAAGCTGCTCTCAAGAGGATCTGAGCCCACAAGCAGAGAGCACTCAGCTCATAGAGAGCCTTAACCTCCACACCACAGGGACACCCACCTCAGCCTCCATCTCTGTACTTATCAACCTCTTACTGTGGGCAAGAATTAAACTGAAAACTAGGCTTAGGGGCTCAGAAGGATTTAAACCCACAGCACTCAACGGAGGAGCACATAACCCTGAACTCACAAGACCTCACACAAAGATACACCCAACACCAGTATCTTTATCAACCTGACACTGCTGGTAAGACTTCAGTTAAAAGGAAAAAGGCTACGTGTTCTGCAGGACTTGAACCCACAGCGCCTAGAAGAGAAGTGTAAAACGAGGAGACCTGTGAAGTGAGGAGTAACCGGACTGATCTCCGATCGCGGCCCGTCCGGATACAAGCCTGCAGGGCGCCGCCATGACAGTCCGCAGCGCCCCGATGACGTCATCACTCGCCGCCCGCCTGGAAAAGGCCGACACCGCTACTAAAAACGTAAAAATGTTTCTGCCAACTTCAAATGTTAAACTTCAAGTAAGCGGCAGATATAAAACAAAATACAAGTTTTATTATTGCACTTTATTATTATTATTAATGACTGCAGTTTATATTATTATTACTGCTGTTGTTTTCAGGCCACAATGGAAAGTCTTGGGATACAGATACCGCCACTGTTGTCCCAGATATATCCCAGGGCTCAGTACTGAAGTAGACTGGGAATATTCTCGGCTACGGAACACTATTAGTGTCCACAGGAAAAACTCTTACTTTTAAACGTAGTGTGATCCCCATGCGTCTCCCAGGTGGGGTTACTGTTTGCAGAATGATCACACGGAAGAACATACAGCACACACAGTTGACAAAGACACAGGCTCAGGACAAACTCCTTTTATTGGTGTGAATATTTACATCAGGAGCTCATGCTCCTCACCCTCACCCCCTCCCAGAGCTAAACCACACCACATTAAAAGCATTTAACTCACAAGCCCACCCTCCCCATACAGATCACCCAGAGCAGGTAAGACAGAAAAGCCATGAATTATAATTACAATCCTAATAACCTCCACAGACTCTCAGTCTCTCAGTGCAGCCTTGCTTCTTAAAACAAAATAGTGCAAAACCTTAAAAACACATCATGTAAAATATAGAATTCATAACATTAAAAAGATCATTATTAAAACAACTGCCAATCTCTCACACAGGACACACCCCCAGGTGTCTCAGGGGTCACAACAGTCTTCCTCTCTGGTGTCCACAGTGAAGCGCACTGCAGGGACGCATGTGAACACAACCTGGAGTGGATTCGGTTTGACTCCAGTTCGCTGCTCAACTCTGCGTCTGAGCCGCGGTCTCAGGGCTGACGTGTGATGAAGACTGTAAAGTGTGTGCGTGAGTGTGTGTGTGTGTGTGAACAGACAGGAATACGGGCTGAGACCCTGTCCCCTCTGCTGACCCCCAGAACAGCCCAGCCACCTCGGCCTGGAGACGACAGACCCCCAGCAGACTGGTCAGTATTGGGAGATCAGACCCTGCGGTCTGGTCTTCACTGAGACACTCCTGTGCAGACCAGGGGCCTGCAGGAGGTGTTCAGCTGCCCCCCTGTAGGGGGCGGTGATACCTGAAAGGGTTAATATTCCTTCCACTGACCACCGGACACTGCGCCAGGGGACAGAGTCTCTCAGGACAGATAAACCCTCAGGGATTCTCAGCAGCTCATCAAGCGAACCCGGAAGAGATATTTACAGGAGCAGCTACAGTCAAGGGAACAGAGACACCAGGCGGCTCGACCAGTGGTCACTGGATTGATCGACAGTAACGATGGTCTGAACTGAACTGGCGAGGGGAGCAGACCTCCTGGGCCGGTGTCTGTGAGGTGTGAGAGACAGCTCCCTCGTCTGCTGCTGTGAGTTGTGAAATAACAGGTAGAGAGTCAGGCGAAGTATCTTATTGAGTGATTGTGTGTGAGACAGACAGAACTGCTCCAACCCCCTGGGCAGGCGGACGTCAGCTCATGAGGTCTCTCCTGGGGACACAGAAACACAGCCGTGACACAGGGTTAGGGGAACAACTGACTGGACTGAGCACACAGACAGGAGAGGGGCCAGACAGACAGACAGGTACAGCAGGTGGACAGACAGGAGAGGGGCCAGTCAGACAGACAGGAGAGGGGCCAGTCAGACAGACAGGAGAGGGGCCAGTCA